CCTCCCAACAGACAGGGGTGGGTAAAAGGAGGACTGTGTTGGGGGGGGGCAATATGCTGCCTCTGTAACCCGCTTAGAGAGGGCTGAAAGCCCTATGAAGCGGTATATAAGTCTAACTGCTATTGCTATTGCTATTCCCGTAACAAAGGTATTTTTTTGTGACAAAAGAAAAATATACCAAATCTGGCTTAACCCAACCATTCAACGCAGCACTTCATATCTTCTTATCCTTATGCATTACCCTTTTCTCTTTAAACTTTTAATCTATGGACAAACAACTATACTCTGCACAAATTCTATTTCAGGCAATTGTACCTTGATGTGAAAAATAAATCTTAATAGACTTATTGTCCAAGAATACAGAAATCCCTTTGCTCTTTGCTTCAGTTTTGCATCTAATTAATTTCATTAAATTCAAATGAAGCATTACGAGTTTTATAACAAGTTAGACCTTACATTCATTAATTAACTTTGATTTTAGAAGATGATTCTGGCTAATGCAGAATTTATAATGAATCTTATGAAAATTAATATTAAATGATCGTTCTCAATAGCTGAGTTTCCTTTTCTAAATTCATTTAACACGTTTGAATATGTATTCTGAGAAAAATTTAGTAACAATTTGTTTAGAAATTAAAATATCTGAAAGCTAAGGCATGAATAAGTGTAAAGAATCGCTCAACCACCTTTTTTAAAGCCTCTGCCCAATTATAAACAGATCCTATGTTTACAAAGTGATAGGTGATCTTATGCTAGAATTACTGTCTGTTGTTGTTGGCAGGTTTTGTGCTCGACTTTCAATTGTGAACAATTCCTGGAATTATGTCGCAAGTGCAAACATTTCAATGAAAGAGACCCAAATGGACTTTATAATGTCAAATGATCTTTTGTGGAATACAGAATTTATAAATGGAAACAAGAAGAGCAAGGGAGCGGATTCAAGGACAGATCAGACAGGTACTCATTCACACACCTTTTAACCATTAACTTTATGAAGAATGAACAGCCAATGTCAGAATAATGTACCTAGTATTTACAGAGAGGAGAATGATAAGTGTTGTCCAGTATTAAAGGCCAGTACTTCAATAATGAAGCAAATTATTCTTAGTGAGGACAAGTAAGATAAATAACACAACCAAACATAAATATTTCATGGTATTTTTTTCTTACCAGAGCCATTTTTCCAGCCAGAAGAAGTTCTGTTTCATTGTGCAAGGCTTTCACATTATTTACCATTTCTACTACAAGGTTGCAATTCAGGCCCTGTAGAAAGATTGTATATATAAGAACTGGAAGCTACAAACCCAATCAGGCAATGTAAGACAGTCAAAATGCACTGCAAATTACAAAGTAGTACCTCTGTAGACTTGGATTTTGCATACACTTTGTCCATAGATTTGGAGCTAGCATTGACAGCATGAGCAAGTTCTTGTTCCATATCCTGGAATGCTTGGGCTATTTCTCGAATGCTGTAGGAAAAAGTAAGAGAATGACTATTGGGTTACCTGAAGGGTTGTTCTCTGTGCATTATGGAAGTGTCCAAGCATGGGGTTAACTGTCACACTGCCCAAGGACTTGATTGAAATTCTTGGCCATGCCTCCTGGCTTCCTGTAGCTTTTCAGCTTTTTCAATGAAGGCATGGTCCCGTCGGAACTCAGGTTCACATGGATGCAAATCCTCCAACAAATAAGGAAACAGTCTAGTCTGGAAGTCTGTACCCCAGGATGGGGTTGGACACTCCCGCAGTGCACAGAGAACAACCCTTCAGGTAAGCCAATGATCATTCTCCTATGCACTGCTTGGAGGGTCCAAGCATGGGACATACCCAAGCTAAACGTCACTTGGCGGGTCGAACTCAATTGTCATTAGAAAGAATACTCTATAAAACCAGAATGATTAACTCCATTTGACGTGATCACCTCCCAACAGTCGGCAAACAGTTGTAGCCGGCCCTCTATGGGAGGGTCCGTCTGGTGGTCATTTGTTGCGACGGTAGGGCCTGTTAGCCAAACCGCCTCAAAATAGCCAACTGTGGAAGGGTTGGTAATGATCCCTGTCATAAAATGGTTGTCTATTCTGTACCCAGTCCGATCCTTGGGGGTAGGGACGCTGGAAGGAGAAGGAAGCGACTTGTAAATCTGATGCTCGAAATAATTGTTTGTGAAAGGAAGGGGACCTACGGTCAGGT